CGTAACCATTTGAAAAAAGTACATAAGATAAAGCACTGTGGCCTTAAGCAGATTATTAATGGTTTGCCAGATTTAGTATCAAATCCCCTTTGACATCAGATTTTTTTCCCCACCCAATTTAGTCTCAACTACAAAAATATGAAACAGCAAATACAAGTGTTGGTTATAATGAGGTCACATGCCAATTGTGTTCTTTATTTCAAATTTCAGAGTTATAGCCCAAGGAATAAAATGCCTTAAAATAAACACTAGTTCAAAAAGCTACAACTAGAAATTGGAAAACTGACCACATAATCTTTCTTGGTTTCTCATCAAAGGTGAGCATAAACCTTTGTTCTGTGGGTCTCAAGCCCACTGAAGGCATTGATGTTCTGGGAGGAATTCCCTTTGGTGGGTCTAAGCAGATTCCATTACCGCAATGATTTTTTCTCCAAGGAAAAACAGAATAGATCATGTTTCTCTCCAGCAGGCACTCCACTCACTTAGCCACGTGGCTGAGGAGTATTCCTGATCTCTGGGCAAGGTTCTGACACCAGACACATAAGAAGAGTGACTTGAGACCTCACTACCAATTCTCAGTGGAATTGATGTAATAGCACATCCTTTAGAAATTATGCAGCAATTTTAGCTAAAACTTGAAGAAGTAAAATAATTAGCTTCTTCATCAAAAGGAAACAGTATTTTGAATATTTGGGGGTAGATGGAAAAGGTGAGTTCTGCATCCCCTGAGCCCATATTTTGCCTATTAATCCATTTTAATAAGAGGATGTTATTGACATTACACATTAGAACAGGGAGTCAAGTAGGAGTGGATGTAAATTACAGACCTACTGAATAAATCTGCAGTGCTCTGCTACTCCTGTGAGCCAGGGCTTCTTACTTACCTGAGAGACTCACTCCAGAAAATTACCAGAAGTGTGTTTGCTCACATTTTCAAGCCCACTGATTTACTGTTGATCACGACACAGCATTTGCTGTCATTTGTTAATAATCACCCTCTGGGCTTACCACAGAATTACAATCATCTAGCAAGAAGCCCATATGCAGTTGGGTACAATACACAGATGCATTTGTGTTAATTATTCAGCAGTAAATACAAAAGCAAAGGGACCAGAGTTTTATGAAAGCTTGTGCTTCACACACTAAAACAGTGGCAGGGTGCCACTGGGAATAGCCAAAGTAGGCAACTGTACTTCAGGAACTACAGCCTGTGAGAACTCTCAAGTGCATGGATTTTTCTATGCAAGTATTAACCATACACGAAACCCCACTTGGATAGAACACTCATAGCAAGAGATTCTATATAACAGCAGCTCTATACAACAGTTAATTTGCTGAAATGCTTGAAACATTTAGGCACTTCCTGAAATAACTGACTAAAACACACAACAGCATTTAAACCATTTTGCAAAGTGACCCAAAGGTTGCAGTTCTTTCATAAAATGACTCATTTCAGAATATGACGAACATAAATATCATTTGTCCTGCTTGTTTCAAAAATCTGCAATAGCACACCAGGTAATCAGACCCACACTGTGGGCCATGACCTTGCAAATAGAAACCAAACACTGGCACTGCAACTACTGGTGTTTTGTTGCTCATGGATAGTGTTTACAGTAATTTAAAGCATTTAATTATTTACAATAATTAAAAAGCTGCTAGGAAGAAGAATGGAGGGCAAGGATGATAAAACATGGGGGTGTTTCCTGTGACAAGTCCAAGAGTTCCAGCAGCAACCTCAAGTTAATCAAGTTCTACAAGCACTGGTTTGTCTGGAAGATGGAGTGAATATGTCCAACAATGCAAAATTGCCCAAGGAGTTCTTAATAAAACAATGAGGATTTTGTGCAAAAATAAATGACAGAATATACTATTTTTAAAGCAAAATATTGAAATAGGACTTACCTTCAGAGTGCTTTTTAAACATTCAAGATTTGTTTGGAAAACAGAAAAGACCCTACTGATTTGCATGTGGTATTTACAATAAGTGGATAAAGTGACAGCAATATTATGTATGAATTTGCAACTATTGCTATTAAAAAAAGGAAATTATGAAGTTTGGTTTTAACCCTTCTCTAAGGTTATTTTTGCAGGGTTAGTTAGATCCCTAGTGCCTGCAATATTGGTGGGAGGGAGAGGGGGAAGTTGCCATGTTCATGACTGATCAGGATTCTTGTTAAAAATGTCTCCATCTGTGTTAATAAAACGCACATGCTTTTACTGTGCTTAAAAACCCTGAAATGGCAATCATGTGGGCTTATCTCATGGCTGGGGCTCTGTAAGGTATAAAAAAGTTGGCAAAGGACTGATCCTCAGTGCCGTCCATCAGAGGATCCAAACATGCATTGGCTCTTCCAACTAATTGGTGTTGGGCATTTTGCTTAAAAATTCCACAGCAACAGTTTCTATAAAGGTCTGCCTGTGACAAAGTTGGCAGAATCATATCCCTTGCTTTGCATAATTCAATAAAAGTCCTGCAGAGAATCAGCTATGAATGATCTTACATTAATAACCACATTGAGCTTTACCTTTGGGACTTGTCACACTGGAATTTAAAACGAATCTGTAAGTATTTGTTAGGTAAAAAACAGTTCTGCATTACCTGATGGATGTTTCCCACTGAAATGTGTCTTTGTTCCTTAACTGCTTAAATTGACTTAGGTTCTGCTTTTATTTCTGGATTTAGCATGTTTTAATGGTTACAGGGCTATTATGTTGTGAAGGAGCTGTGATCTCAATTTTCCTGTTTAGATCTCATCCGTGGAGATCACAAAAGTCAGGTCAGCACTACTAAAAGAACGTTGGTGCTGCCGAGAACCTGAATCCAGGCTCTCCTGCTCCATCTTCTGGTACAAAAGCACCTAAGAAAGCTCTACTCCCACAGCCCGTTTTACCAGCCACTGTGTCTTGAATACATAACAGGATTCCAGCAAAAATGAGATTATTATTCATAATATATGGCAACATCTGGATTGATAGTTAGTTACCTTATTGCAAGACAATTTTCTCTCCCCAGGTCTCACATTTTCCCCATTTCTTCTAATCCCCAACACAATGTAATTAGTCTCAAAGATACTCCAGTCTACAAAAACTAGATAGAAATAATTTTGGAATTATATCCAAGATTGAAACAGACTCAAAATAAATCTTAAAATCTTCTGGGATTCACTTACTACAGATGTCACGTAAAATGGACAGAGTTTGAACAAATCATTCCAATCTGCACCAGAATAGCAGTGAAAACCTAATCCTTGACTCCTTAGAATTTAAAATTTCAAGGAACTTCTATGGGTTGAGCCACATAACTCATATTATAATGCATAAAAGAAAAACAAAACTCTAGAAACCTTATTCTTAATTTCTCTGGTAAACTGTATGATGAATACTCTGCACTATTCCACTGCTGCAATTCAGTGTTAGGCAAAATGAAAACTACAGCAGGGGAAAAGGCAAATCACTTGGCTAAGTTTGGTTCAAACCCACCTTGTTACAGCAGTGTGTTACTCATGCTCTCTAAGATTTGGTAGTGCTTTAAGCTGCTGCTGTTCACACTAATAGGGCTTGAAGAACTGGAGCTCAAAAAGCCACAAAGGAGATTGCCCTCAGTGCACAAACAGCTCCACTGCCTGTGGCTTTCTGACAAAACCAAAGGAAATATTAATCCCCAGGCTTTTCAGGACTTGTAAAACCTGAGTCCTTAAAAGTTGCAATCTTGGAGGTTGACTTCAGAATTTAGACTTCTATTAGTCATTTTCATTATTTGTGATATTCAAAAGTATTTGTAATAGGCACCAGTATTGCAACATTTCACTATTGTTGCAGCTTCATTTATTTCTGCTATTTAAAATCATTCAAAAGAGGCACCAGCATCACAATATTCCAGTGTTGCTGCTACTGTCAATTTAGTTTTAGCAAATTGGTCATGCTGTCAAAGCACTGAACTGTGCTGAATTTCACCATTTGGTTGAGAGTTTTCTAAGATGTACAGCAAGAGACATCTGAAGCCAAATTTACTCCATAGTTTCACCTCTTGTGCTCCTGCCCAAACCATTGTCACATGAGCTACAGGAGCAGCTGCTGGACTGGAAGAGGAAATGCAAGTGGCTCTCTTACCTGCCTCACTAAAATGATTTGTACTTGGAGGGTTTTGAGTGAAGAACATCACTGAAGATCACAAAGAACAGCAATTTCTAGATTTGTCCAGGTAGATGCCATTTTCTTGATGGAGGGCATTTTTCTGTAATAAAGAGTACAGAGTTCTATAACCTGAAAACAGTATTTCAAGGCAGGGATGGAAAGGAGAGTTAGGAATATCTCCTATTTAAATAAAGCTCCCATTATTTTTTAATTACAAAAATACATTTTTTAGTTATGGCTTCTTACTGTGTTGCAATGGAAAAAGCTAACTCAGTAAACCATTTTCAATCAAAAGAATGTAACACGGAAAAATTACTGAGAGCAACAATAAAAGCACATTAAACAGTGGGTGAATGCTTCAATAGAACTTAAAGGAAGACAACTTCTAAAAAATTGTGTTCCAGCATTGACTGTACAGTTGCACCAAATGTGAAGCTTTAAAATCCTAATAAGTTTTGTTGTTCTCTGCCTTCCTCTAGTTTACCACACTGTGAGTTATTTACATAAAACACAGTTTCTTCCATGGGAAAGGCTTGCATGGTACTTCAAAGCCTGAATAAATCAGAGACTTCAGCTTGAACCTATGAAAAATCATCCAAAAAATCCTTTCAACATCTGGATTGTATTACCTGGTCATTCCACCTGTCCAGCTGAATTATTCAAGTATCCACAGCAGAAGTGCTAGGCAATGTCTCCCTATGAAGATGTGATGTTTTTTCAAATTAAAAAAAAAAAAATTGAATTCCCAGTTTGACATGGATTAGCTTTCCATGAAAATTATGATGCACTACACCCAAATCCTTGCTGTAGCAGGATGCTCACTTGAGTCTGGAAGTCTTCATGTGGCACCCTGCAGGAATCAGCTGATTTCCTGTGAAGGGCTGAGAAGCCTTACAAGAACTGCTTTTGGTGGAAGAACTTCTCCAGTGCACTCACCTGTGGCTTTATCCAGGTCAGGGATCTTAGTTCCCTCTTCTTTGAGCTTCAGTGTCCAACCACTTGCACTGCTCTGAGAAGAACAGAAGAAACATCTGCCTACAGTGAGGACTTTTCTGGTGGGAAAAGCCCAAATTCCATTCTACAGGAAAAAAAAAAAGAGGAATTAATGTCTGTTCAAAATTTCATCCTCTACTGAAAGCATTGGATTTGGATGTGTACATTTAGAAATGGAATTGTCCTAAATTAAAAACAATTTGACTCCATCACCATTTTTGTTTGCCCAGTCCTGAACTGAAGATGTAAACACATGAGAAAGCATGGAATAGTCTGGTGTGCTACATTAAAGGGAGAGAATCTCCTGTACCTTCCTAAGGTAATAACTCAAATCACACAGAAAGGCATTCCGAGAAAAAAAAAAATTGTTAGAGGAACACAGGAGACCTCCAATATCCAGAGAGGTGGGTAAAATAAAAAAAAAAAAAAAAATTATGAAAAAAAAAAAAAAAAAACAAAAAAAAACCCACAAAAAAACCCACAAAAAAAACCCCAAAAAAAACCAGACCACAGAAAAGTAAAATCCCAAATATTTCAAATATTTAAACAATGGTACTATTTCTGAAATGGGAATCTAGAGCCTCACCAGGTGAATATCACCATCTTCCTTCCTTTACTGGGATCAGGGAATTTGCCATATCCACTTCTGGGTTCATTTACTTGGAGCTTCTGTTTGCACAGTGATTGCAGCAGTGTTTATCTGCTCTAGCATTGGGCTTCTTGTTACCCTCATTCCACAGTTCTGAGCAACAGTTCTCATCTTATGGGCAGGTAATTGAGCTCAATTCATTGATTTGCAGGGGAAATACAATAAAAGCTGGTTGGAAAAGCAAATTATTCAGAATCTTCACCCTGCTTGCCTTTCAGAACTAACACTCGAGGACCACTGAAAGCCTTTGCTTTAGCTCATGTCAGTGAAGCTACAATTTAGTGTTTGTCCAAAGAATGGTCACATTCTAAAATGAGTGAGGTTATTGTGGTTTCATGAGTTATAAAGGCATAATTAAAGATTCCTGTTGATTCTTAGATCAGGATCACTCCTTAGCTCAAGGACTATTTAGTGGCAAGAGCTAAGGCAAAAGGCAACACTCAAGAAAGTGTTGCTGATAAAGTGAGTTATGAGTTACACATGAGAATCTTAACAAGGGTGACCCAGTCAGAGCTCACACCTGCCTGTGATGCAGTGCTGCAGCTGGAAACCCCCAGAGTGCCAGAGATCCAATCACTCCTGAGGGTCAAGTTCTTTAAAGAAGCACTGTTGTTGCAGGATCAGTGAAAGACAGGACAGAGACAAAATTGATGGCACTGCCTTAGAGCAAACAGAACTTTCCCAGTGATGAATTTGCCCTCATCTGGTCCTACTTTTAATATTCCTGCTTTAAAACTCCTATTTTTATCAGCTTCTTACAAAAGGCATTCCTACCCCAAGGAGTGAATGTTACAAGTGTTTGTTTGAATGAAACCAACAATTAAGCAACATCTTCTCCAAACTGATTTTGTAAAAGTCGTGGTTTTGTTTTCTTTACAATTGCATGGGAAAACAGGGGAAGGGGAAGGGTTGGCTGAAAGCAGCCAGCTGATGGTAACCTGCAGTGACCTCCTGCCCTGCTGGAGCTCCCAGGGAACAGGACAAGTGCTGCATTTGCCATCAAGTCCACATCAACCACAAAAAAGGCAGAAGGACAAGCATGATCCACAAAGGCAGTAGCAGTCTGAGGCCAGGAGCAGCAGAGTCAGCAGCCAACATCTCACTGCTGGTGAGAGCTCACCTGCAGATTTCCACCTGAGCACCTGCTGGGGAGCAGAGCTTGTTCCTCATTTCCATGTCAAGCCATAACAGCCACACTCCTGCTGCTACTCAAAGAATAGGGATCAGCTCTGGGGTTTGTAAGGTTTTAAATAGTTTCCAACTTCAGCCCTTATAGAAGGCAAAACAGAAAATGTCACAGGTAATAACTGGACTTGAAAATAGAAATATGCAAGAACACAGTGTTATACTCATGTTACCTATTGATTTTTTACAGCAGAACAAAGTCTTTACAGACACAGAAATACATATATTTTTCCCCCACAATAAAGAAAAAAAAAATCTGTCTTGTAGCCTGTAAGAAAAGCCATAAAGCCAAAGCAAACTGCTTCCTGTAAACAGAAAATGTTCTTGAAAAATTCAGTTTGGGAAGCATAAATATTTAATTGCCCTGAGCATGTCTTAGAAGCTCAGATTTACTCAAAATAGTGTCAGGAGCAAACAAAACTGCAAAACAATTTCTTTTAGTAAGAAATACCTTGAGAAAAAGTAGTACTTTCTTATCATCTTTCACTGTTTCACTTTATGTCTGAATCTTGTAACTCCAACTCCTAGAACAGCACCAGTGGGGGAGAGAGACAAGGAGCACCTTTTGTTATTTGACTAACTGCAAGGTTTTGACACATAAAATACTAATATAAATAATTTATTCTCACAGGGTTCTGTTAGAGTAACAAGCTGGTAGCTTGGTATATGTTTAAGAAACAACAAGAAACATTTTGAGTAGTAGGGAAAAACCTTAATAAAAGAGGTATATATCTACTGCTAAGTACCAGATATACACATATATATACATATCTATTGGATATATATAGATCAAATTTCCCAATGTCTTGCTCTAATTATCAGACAACTGACTACAAAATTGAGATTTATTAGATTATTGACTATTAAGTGAATCCTGTTTGATAATTAATATCTCTGGGAACTATTAGTTATTACATATACATTGCCCAATCTTTAATAACTCAACTTCAGTAAGAACAGTTTTAAATCTATAATTAAAAAGAATTTCTATGACATTTATTTTAACTAAGTGCATCACTAAACAGTAAGATCTTATATGCAGTTAAATGACTAACATTTAACTTATTGCAATTCTAAGTGTTAATGACTTCAAGAGTTTATCTAACTTATCATTACTTGCTAAATAACACAAAATCATTTGTCTGATTAAGTCTTGGTTTAAGAAAACATGCAGTGGGCATAACTAAGAGCTGGAATTAATGGCAAGTGTTAGCTTGGAAAAATAGAAAGTGACTGCTGACAAGTAGGAGGACACAATAAATTCTTATAGTTAACACATGTTCATAGTACAGACAGTTCTTATAAATGTATTACAGATAAAAATTGACAAATGTGCTCTGCTATACAGAATTTTTTCAAGTGACCATTGTTCTGTCTGACAACACAGACTAGAAACTGTCCTGCCTCTCAAATATTATTCTGTTTCTACTTAGACTTTTAGACAAATGTAGGATAAAAACAAGACTTCCATTGCATTTATGCTTTTGTGGCTCTAAGTAACTGTTGCTATTATTATTAATAGCAATTATTCATTTATTTTAAATGACCTCCATCTAATTTGGGTCAATTCCTGAAAAAAGCAAACTGGAAGATTTCAAACCCCTTATTTTAAAATGTGATATTCCAGTTAGTTCAGCTTTGTGTAGCCCCTCAGGGTTACTTTTCTTGTATATTTTCTGAGTTCAGAACAAATTTGCAAACTGTTTTAGTTGGGTTGAATTAGACACAGGAGAACTAAGTCACCCCTCCAAACCCACAGCCACGTTCTCAGCAATGATAATTGGATTCTCCTGCACAGGTTATTTTCATTCCAGCAGCACAGACCTGTTGGTTGGTGAATCACTCGGTGCTGCTCCCCAGGCACCGCTAATCAGGGCAATCTGATCTGCTCCAATTAACCCCGTGCTGCAGTTCCACGGGCAATTAACCCTTGTGCTGCCGCGGGCTGTGCAAATCAAATGCCAGCCCATCACCATCACCTCCTGCATGCTCTGCACGTGGCTCCAGCAGCCAGAGCTGCTCATCACGATTCTCCTTCTCCGTGATCACTCCTGAGATTTGAGTCATGTCTGGGTGAAATTCAGAGGAAAACAGACACCCCCCAAACCCATCCATCATCTCTACACATCTGAACACTGCTGAACTTCTGACAATCAGCTTGGCTCCCTCAGGACTGAGCTGACTGAAAATTCACTGCCCTGTGCCTACACTCATGGCTTCGTCCAAGACAGTACGAAATAACAGAAAAGTGGGTTTCTTCCAGGTCAAAGTCTCTCAGTCCCCTGTTTTGGAGAAGGATCCAAATTCTATTTGTTTACACGAATACCTGAACTGAAAAACAACAGGCAATAAAATTCCCTTCAAGAACCCATGTTTTGTCTTCTGGTGAGTTTTCCCGACACTGGCCAAGCTTGCAGAGCCATGAGAGAGAGAATTTCCCCAGAAAAGAGATAACAGATAATAGAGGGCAGAACAAGACACCAAAGAAAGGAAGGGTCTGGAAAAGGGGATAAAAGACACATTTCACACGTGGTGAAATGAATATTTATCATCCTTGGTGGTCAAGAAACATCCTGATGAGCTGAATGGTGGCCATGGAGCATGCAAGCCCAGGGATGGGATGTGGGAATCCCCTTGAGTACCTGTGTGATCCTCAGGTACTGATTTATCACACAAGCAGGTAGAAAGCTGACAGTAGCCATACCCAGCTGGAGATTTTATAACAGATACGTGAACCCAGAGACACACTGGAAGCTGTGGGCTGCTGACAAATAGCTCACAAAAATTACCTCTAAAACTGGCTTCCACAAACTCTATGGCAAAACTCCTTGAACTCATGTTCTTCTGTATGTTACACAGAAGTTATTTCTTTTGAACTAGTCATTCAAAAAACTTAATTTCTTTGATGTTAAAAAGCATATTTTGCAGGGTAAACTCTGACTCTTGGTTAGATTAGCAACGCTCATGGAATCAGGTTTTTTAAACTGCTTTGAAAGCCTATCAGATGTTATTTACAGATAATAATCATATAATCACAGACCAAGTTGATTTAAATTCTTGTGGGGTACTCATGTAACTTTCTTGCACTACACTGTGCTGACAATGTTTTCATTCAGTATGAGATATAGAGTTGCCAAATTAATATTCACCAAGCCCTGCCCCCAGCAGCCACAGGGAATTCAGGAAGCAGGGGTTGTTAGAGCACATGGAGGAGCCCCTTGCACCACAGCTTAAAGGGGCTGGGATGCACTGTTCTAAGGCATGCCTAGAAATGGATGGAAAAACACAAATTACATTTCAACAATCCTTTCCTGTGTTGCACTTCCATAGGCCAATGCAATGATGAGCTCTGCCACGCTTGGAGTGACTTCAAAGTCATCCTCAGTTGGCAGTAAATAACCAGAATACTGCTTAAAATATCAAATAGTTATCAACATATTCAAAATGTTCTTAATGGAACAGATGATTTGAAGATCACAGGATAATGGCTGAGGCCCTGGATGATTTTTCCATCTGACAGTGCAGCCCCACACTTTGTGGTCTGACACATAACTCAGCTTCATGCTGCATTATCAACCCTTTTGTGGCAGCAGAGATATCAAACCAGTCTGAGCACACTGATGTGCAGGTTCACTGTCCCTCACTGTCCCTTCAGCCACTGCTTTAAATTAGAAGCATTCACCATTCTGCCATGTACAGGGGGGAGTTTGTGGTGTCTTGCTGAGAGGTTTAAGAAATCTCTCTCTGCAGGGAGCAGTGGAGTACAAACACAGACATAGAGAAAAAGCTCAGATATTTGAGAAAAGCAGAAAGTCTGCTTGTCTCACTGCATTTAGTCTGAGACAGAGATGATAAGCCCAAAACCTCTTGCAATTACCAAGCTAAAAGGAAGAAGTGATGGGACAAGAAATAGAACCAATGCAACAGCATTTTAACCTATTCTATAAAAGTGTTATCACATTTCCATCATATTATTCTGTGTTAAACTTGAGCTTTTAGCTGACCTTTTGGATACCAAAGGATAAAAAATCATTAAAACTTCTTGTCTTTCAATCACAAAGACACGTCCAGTTCCTTTTCTTTCATCAGGGACAGTTCCTTAAGCCTTATGCTGAAAATTTTCCTGCCAAACTCCACCAACACACATTTTCCTTCAATCCTCTGTTATTTTTCTCCCCAAAGACCCAAGAGCTGGGATCAAATGAAGCTTTTCTAATGTTCCTTGCTGCACAGCTCATGACTGAGAAAGGATAACAGTGGAGCTTGGATGACATTAACCTTAACTTGAATTTACAGGGAAGGAATTACATCCCAACAACAGGGTTTGGGTTTCTAAATCTGATCTAGCAGAGCAAGTGCTGCAGTTACTGTCTTCAGCCATCAAGCTCAAAGCACCACAGTCACAAGTGTCTGGAGCAATAAGTCACAACCCATGAGACTGGGAAAAAGGTACTGCTGCCTGTCTTTGTGCCAACACAGAGCAACTGCACAACTCCCAGGAAGACCTCGGAGAGCCTCAGACTGCAATAGGCCTCCCACACACTTGCCAAGAAATCTGTGGATGCAAAGTGTTCTGCACACTGCCTGTAAAGACCACACCTGTGGGGAGGTCTGTTTGTAACACTTGAATCCCAAATGAGCTACAATTATGGCATATGGTGGTGATTTCTTTTTGACATTAAATTAAGAATCTACTCCTTTGTCTTGGAAATGTTCTGAACTAATTCCATATTTAAATATGGAATGGTAAAACCATATCTGGGCTGGAGGACACTAAATGCTCACAAGAATATGAACAAACCTTACAGCACCACTGCAGCTGTAGCCCCAGGAATGCCCCTAACACAGCTGAAACAGAGTTCTTCACCTTGCCTGTTTCACTGTGGGGATTACTTCAGTCTATTCCCAGTTCTGCACTCTGCTGTAAAAACCCACAGAAAATTGGTCACCGCTGCAGTTTGCACTCTGAAACTTAAGCTAAGAATTAATTAGGCATTAGGAAATAGAAGAAAACATTTAGAACAGCTGTGGTCACAGTGTTGGGATGCAGTCTCAATCAGAAGCCAGTTGAGCATTGGGATGACTTCCTTGGGACATAACACCAGTGAGGAGCTACAGGAAAAGGTTTTAAAGAAGGTGATGAAATCAGTTTGCAGAGATTTAGAAAGCTAATGATGAAAACAGCATTTTTTTGCAGCAATTAATAAATGGATGGTGAAGTCTGGTACCACAGGTCTGTTGGAGATGGCACCAACATTTAAATGACAACTGAAATAAAGCTAAGCCACAAAGCACCCAGGAGGAGGGGACAAGACCCTTTCTGATACATGATATCATGGGGAGGCAAATTTAAGAGAGCAGGGAGCAGAACATGTGATGAACTATGATCCCTAGCAGAAAACCAGAAAAGCAATAGAGAGGAAGAGGCTCTGTCCCCTGACACTGACTGAGCAGAATAAACAAGTAGAAAAACTTGACCTATACTCT